AATTGTTTTTTAAAAGTAGCATAGTTAGAGTGTGTTGACAAGATAGATTCAAGAGTAATTGACCCCTCTTGAATTGTGGAAGGTATGGTTGTATTGGAATTAGAACTGATTGACTAGTTAATATGTTTGAGAAGTTGTATAACTTTAAAGTTAGTAGTAAGTCTGTTAGGACCATCAATGAGAGGATTGGGGTGAGATAATATGCTAGTGGAAGACCAGTGATTATATTGGAGTTGTTGGATTTGAATACATGTAGATATGCCAAGAAGGGATTCATTATTGAGGTGTTTGATAAAGTTAGAAATATGATGTTGAAGTTGAAAATAATATAATTATTTGTTATTAACAAAGGCAATTTTAATATAAAAATACAATTTTTTTCTTTTAATTTTTTTTTTTGATTTCGAAATTAAAAAAAGTAAAATAGGTCGCTTATTTAAAACTCATAAACATTGTAAAACAGCACATCTCGCTAAGATGTCTAAATTCCATAACCTACTATCAATTAATAAATATAATCAATACCAAACTCCTCTATGTAAATTTTATATTTATTGACACAGAAATTTTCAACTGATTACGATTGAAAACAATTCAATTGATCTAATTGAAAACAATTCAATCGATCTAATTAAAACTGATTCAATCGACCTTCAATTAAAAATTTCTAAAACAGAAAAAATAAAAAAGGACATAATAATAGTAATTAATTATATGTCAGAAAAAGAACTAATAAATTGTCTTTGATTATTCAATAATATAAGATATAAAGATGGCCCAAATAAAGAAAAAATTTTGTTTTCTTATTTGCAAGAAAAAGCTATGGAGTTGTTATTTACAAGTCATAGAAACTCAAGCTCTAATTTTCAAGAGAAAGTTAAATTATTAAAAGTTAAAAATTTGAAATTAGAAAAAAAAATATATAGATTAACTCTTAAAACAAAATTGTTAATGATTAAACTTACTATTTTAAAAGAACCAAAAGCAAACACATCTCTAAAATTAAATCAACTATTAGCAAAAGAAAAAGAATATCTGATAAAAATATTGAAAAAGCTATAGTTAAAAAAATCAAGCAAAATAATCATGAATACACATCTAAGTTTATTTCTATAACCACAAATTTGAGTACTATAGGTTGTGCTTTGATATTATCTATGATATAATGTACTAAAAAAATAATAACATTTTTTACTAGCTAGCCTCCTAAATTATAGTTATCTCCAAACACTTTAGCTCGATGGGCAAAAGAAGTAGCAGAAATCTCCATGCAAGATAATTTACCTCAATTTTTAAATCGGTTTAGCTTGTATGGAATTTTAGTAGATAAAAATACCAGAGGAGAAAAAAAATATAACTTTAGTATGTATATTCTACTGGAATAAAAAAAAATAAGAACCTATACTTACTATTCTTGATATAAAAGACCTAGACCGTTGTTCAGTATCTATAGTGTTATTAAGTGTTGGAGAAGCAATTAATAAAAATTTATTAAATCCATCACAATGTTAATACTGGCTTACAGACAATATGGCTTATATGCCGAGATCAATAGCTAGTGCTGTTATTAAATTTAATCAGCAATATTCAGCAAAAGCAATGAGGATTTCTTGTGGATTATATGCGTTACATATAGCTTCAGTATATTTTAATGATGTGACATTTAGAAAAAATAATTCACTTTCAGGAATTTGTTTAAGCCACATCTATCAAATCTTCTTAATTTAGCTTATTATCTTCATTGTGGATATAATGAATCTGATAAAGATAATTTATTAAATATAAAAACAAAAAAAATTAATGAATTATATAAAATATTACTTAGCTACAATCTTAAAAGATACCAAAAACCTATTTCAACTCATTGGCTATATCAATTAACAACTACAAAACAATATCTAAATCAGCGAGATGTTCATCTTTAATTTTCTAGTTGGTTTATTAACCAATTAGAAATGGCAAACAAAATTCCTGAAAATTATTTAAAAAAATAGAAAATATTCTATAATTTTTTACAAAATAAAAAATTAAATATAGAAATATAAATAATGGCTCGTTTTGGAAAATGGTTTTATGAAAAAGTAATATATTTCTTAATTGGTAAGGATACAAATCTTCCTAATAGATTTAGAGCTAGTGAAATGTCAGAAAGAGTTGAACAGTGGATTAAAGAGTTACAAACTGCAACTAAACATCCTGACGAAGTTTTTGTAGAAGAGTTATTATTAGCTTACGAAGTTTTATCTGCAAATGAATTTAGTGATTTAACAAATAAAATAGAACATGGATTAGTAAAAGCTTTAGAAGCATTTAAATGATGGATGAATCCATGGATACATTTACCTCTTTTATTATGCTGACTTGGAGAAATTAATAGTCCTGATTTTGCAATTGCAATTAGTAAAGTTGTGTTAAATACTTACTATTCAGAAAATCTTACAGAAATACAACAAAAATATATAAATGAATTAGTAAGTAATTTAAAAAATAAGAAACAAGAATCTTTTGGATTATTTGAAGCATTAAAAAATAAAGATTTTCAAGAACAATTTTTGGCCTTTTCACAATCTACCTATACCAAATTGCTTAATTATCCAGTAATACATGATTTTATTAAGCATAAAATTTGGTCTATAATCGTTCATCAGCAATACCTTGAGAGTATGTTTAACAAATATGATCTTAAAACACATCCTAATATGTCTATTGACCTACAGGAGTCAAGAATAAAACTCTCAGGACCTAAACCTCTTGAAACTTCACTTACTCAAGAAAAATTATCAGAAATCCATTTAATAAATAAACGAAAATGGACTGTTATTGAAAATGTACCTATTAATAGAGAAGAATCTGCAAATGAAATATTTTAAAAGTTTCTAAAACCTTCAAATTAAAAAAATATATTAATATATACATTTATATATATATACAATTCTAGACAGATCTAATAATAATAAATTTATTTTAATTTCATCTTGAAAATATTTGAGCAATTGCCAGAATGATTGTAACCAGTAGATAAATAATCAGGTAAACTTTTTTCCTGTTATATAAATTTGTTAAATATACCATGATTGAAGTCTTTTCTTTAAGTTTTGGTTTTTTTTACAAAGTATGGTATCTAAAGCAAACTAGTGAAATAAAAAGTATAACAAATAAGTTAGTATGTACATACGTACGTATGTATGATTATTATTATTTTTTTGTACAATGATAAATTTGCGAAACAGCTACAAAAAAATCTGATTATATAAATTTATCATATAGACATTACTTAGATTTGATTTACATAGTGCATTGGATACTCTAGTGAGGGATGGTACTGTTCAACTTTTTGGTACACTATATTTTTTCCTATTTGAGAAGGTATTATGGTTATCATTTTTTACTATTAAAAGAATGATATGATGTTGATAATTGTTTTACCATGTAATTAGGGTTTAAACTAGAATTAATAGTATAACGTGTTTGAAATAATGTTGTTTGGATTGATGTGAATTTTGGTGTATATGACAATTATCGCAGTAGTTTATTCTATAGTTGGTTAAATTTATATCTGACTTTGTAAATATCTAACAAATTTTTTTTTGCATATTGAACATTGCATATTGATTATTATAGAATTCACGCTATACTTAATAAGGATAATATGATTTGTAAACTACGACAAAGTTGTCATAGCACTAATTCTAGTATAAAAAAAAATGAAGTGTAGTTTCTATAAATGTGACTTCATTATTTGAGATTATTGTTAGGTTAATTCTTTGATAATTGCATATATTGAAATTCTACAAGAGTTGAAATAAAAAATATTAAGTTGTTATATAAAAAAATAGTTGATTTTCTATATAACTTTATGAATATTGTGAATAGAATGCCATAGTTGGGATTTACACTATACTTATTAATTTGTAAACTATAATAGAACTAGTTTAACAATTCGCATTAAACTTATCAATGAAAAAAAATAGTGTGTACTTTTATTACTTTATTATTTAATATTATTATTAAATTGATATTTGAAACCTTTTACATCAATATGACAAAATGTTATTCATTATTATGTGTAATTATTATATAATCAATATAATTAATAAATGATAACAGGATGATGTAATTGATTTGTAAACGAATATGAAATATAAATAATATAAAGTAAAATCAATTTTTTATTTTTTATTATTATAATGTCATAGTAGAAACTTTATTATAGTTAGTCTGAAGATTGAAAGTTTTCCTATAGTTTACAAATTTAGATAAGGGGACAGATAGGTTATTTATTTATAACCTGGCTGCCAAAACCTTTCAACTTAAACAAGTAAATTATAAGAAGATTGATTAGAAAAGAATTTCTATAGTTAAAGATTTCTAGCTACACTTGTGCTACAGAGCACCCAATATAACATTACATCTCCTAGTAAAATAAATTACATATGGGCTGATTCTGCTCATTTCTGATTTTGTTACCTGATTAAATATTGTGATAATCACAGATTTATAAATTGGTTTTTTAATATCGCGATAGTGATAATTATTATTGTAACAATGACAAATTTGTTATCAATAAGTTGTAAGCTTTGTTTTAAAGCTTTTATAACTCATCAAAAATTGCTTGCCTATGAAAGAAGCAAACATGTGAATAATAAAACGATACCTTATTTTTACTTACTTTCTTAACCTACCTTAGAACAACTGTTTTATTATATTAACTCTGTTATTGTTCTTGTTAAGAAAAAACTTAGTTTTTTTAAAAATTTTATTGGAAAAAAATATTTTTTTATTAAAACTTTTCCAGAAAATATATTTGTATATCTTTTTAGAAATGATAAAAAGTTTAAATATAGTTTAGTTAACTATAAATATCAATGCTGCTTTGAAGGATCCACAGGAGTAACTAGACTTAATCAAATATTTCATTATAATTATTGGAATTTTTGACAAAATCCTATAACAAATACTAAAAGATATTGTTATAGAACGAATTTATTATTAGTTTATTATTTTATTATTTATTAATTATCTTAGAATATTATTATTA